GCATAATTAATCACTGCTGTAGGTCTCCTGATTTATGTGCTCATCTAGGTCTTTGTTCGTTACTTATCAAGTTCACTGAGTGGGGAAACGTTCTCAGAACATGGCATTATACTGCATTTGCCTTTTCCACTGTATCGGTATTTTGTACTATTTCTCTCAGTACATGTATATACAAAGTAGCCTAGCTACCATAGGCAGCTTTCACCTTTGTATATCTCCAGCTGATCCTATTTATTACTTCTAGCATAATATCCTGTCCTGAAATTAACAAAAACAGAGATGACAAATTATTAGATATAATCGTCTGAACTACGGTACATAAAGTACACCACAATCACTTTATTATTATTTTTTTAGAAATACTATCGCCACGGGCGCTTAGGCAGTGTTCGAAATTGCTGGAGCTACTGTTACTGCGCCACAACCACTACCTCTATCGAACACCTGCACTACACCGGAAACATTCTCACTTTCACTGCAGCAGTGTGGCATGCCGCCGCCGCCGCCGCCGCCAGCAACAACCACCTCACTACAGACTTCGTATCAATGCCACTGCACGAAAAGACCACTGCAACCACTATATAATTCAAATACGAGTTCCTATGCAAAGCGGTACACCCGTCAACACGTGTTTAGCCTTCCCTCACGTCATATTTGACATGAATTGGTAACAGGTGTTTGGTGTCATCATATAAATGGGGGTGACCACCCTCCCTCTTAGCTCATATTGCCGTAATAAAGAATGCTCCACACATTCATTCATCAAAACCCTACACCTAAGGGTTAAATCGTCAACCGGGCTGTAGTGTTCTCACACTGTGCTAATGTCAACATTTTTTATCGAGTTTATTGTATATTTACTTCAGTACATCTTACTCCGCCCTTCGATTATGAAAAAAAAAAGGGGAATGAGCAGAATGAGACCAAGGTCAACACCAATGAGCGAAAGGGATCAAGGTCACAACACCAGTGAGCGAAAGGGACCAAGGTCACAACGCCAGTGAAAGCAATACCAAAGTCAACCATTGAGGAGAACGATGGCGAATGTTTATCATGGGGTATGGCGGGTGCCTAGACAAACTAGGAAGTTAAAAAATGTGAAAGGTAACTCAGGAATGAGGAAAATTGAATAATTTTTTAAATAGTTTATGGGAGACCGAGCGATAAGGGACACGATAACCATTGCATAAAAAGCAGAACTACAAACCGAAAGGCACTACAGACACGTAAAAAAAATATGGACGAGCATTTTAAGAGATATGGAAAGTCATCATATGACTAAAGACCCACACCAGGAGGAATATCTGTTTTTCATGACAAAAAGAAACTAATAGCGATCAAGGAGATACTCCCGGATGGATGACTAGTGGTAAGGTAAAAAAAAAAAAAAAATTCTGAAATGATGTCAGTGCGCGCACCATCAGGACAACCCTTTCCCCGTGTCTAGTGTCAAAGTTCACATATACTGCTGTGATTCTAACCTCACAAGATGGGAAATCTTACGGCTGGCGATTGTAACCTCAATGACTGCATAAATCTTACAGTTATTCTAACATCGTAAAGGGGGCTGAAGGAATCTTACAATGATACTAACCTCATGATGAAGATGCGGTAATCTTACCGCAGTAATTTCAACTTCCCAATGGGGCTTAAGGAAATTTAAAGCAGTGATTCTACCCTCGTAACCTCTTAGCCAACTGAATTAGTTGGGTGTAACGTTACCAACATAAGATTAAACCTTAGTAACGAAGGTGGCAATTATGAGGTTAATGAAGGATGGTACCGAGTGTGCCAGCGGTGGACTCCACATAACGTTCTCAAGTTTACAATACCAGCCGTGGGGCTTACAGACCACAGCGTTCATTAAGTTCCTGCAAAAACACGCCAGGTGTTATAAGCGAACATTTCAAATAGAAACTAGTGCAAACTTCTTTTCACCTCTAGTATGATGCATACTGGTCCAAGGAAATTTTGAAAATAAAGCGAAAGAAACAATATTATTATTATTATAATCAAGGGGAAGCGCTAAACCCGGAGGATTATACAGCGCCTGGGGGGGGGGATGTGGAAGGCATTCAGGCTTAATTCGGGGAACTGGAGCACAGATCCAATTTCCTAAATCAAGAGCCCCTCACCAACATCAAGGAACCTTCCTTGAGGGGGAAAGAAACAATAAATCACTTCGGAGAGAGCCTCACTATGGGGTGGAATTAATACGTGTGCAAGTTAACTAGAGCCATCAGGCCGCTACTAATTAAGCCACTTATTAAACCAATATACCTCGCTTGGGTAACAGAAGTATTAGACCCTATTTATGTGATAAGCAAGAAAAACAGCTCGTTATAAACAAAACCTTGATCAGAATTTGAGAAAGAGTTAACTTTCCATAATGGATAATTAACCAACTGCCAACAAACATCATACTTGCACTGTCTGGGCATATAATCGATGATCTCAATGAAACCCAGAGTAAATAAAAATATATGAGTAATAACTACTGCATAGTAAAAAATATTAGTGTTAAGACTTGAGTACGAATGTACAAAAGACAGAGGCTACTACCAGACGAAGTTTCAAAGAGATCCTCTATCATAGGATAACCGGGTCATCCGTGTGATCATACAATCAAGAACTTTTAGTGCGATAATTACAACCACCTAAGTTTATCACAGATTTATGACGCCAGGAGAGCAGATTTAGAATTGGCTCCCACAGCAACGGCCTGGTTAACCAAACACCAGACTAAGCCTGGCCCAGAGAATATGAAAACTCAAAACCCATCACAGGTATACCACAGAAACTGGGCAGGCCATGTTAATGGCCTCCTCTCCTCCCACGCTGGGTCAGCCTTCGCCAGCCTCTCCTCCCATGCTGGGTCAGCCTTCGCCAGTCTCTCTCCTCCCATGCTGGGTCAGCCTTCGCCAGCCTCTCTCCTCCCATGCTGCGTCAGCCTTCGCCAGCCTCTCTCCTCCCATGCTGCGTCAGCCTTCGCCAGCCTCTCCTCCCACGCTGGGTCAGCCTTCGCCAGCATCTCCTCCCACGCTGGGTCAGCCTTCGCCAGCATCTCCTCCCACGCTGGGTCAGCCTTCGCCAGCATCTCCTCCCACGCTGGGTCAGCCTTCGCCAGCATCTCCTCCCACGCTGGGTCAGCCTTCGCCAGCATCTCCTCCCACGCTGGGTCAGCCTTCGCCAGCATCTCCTCCCACGCTGGGTCAGCCTTCGCCAGCATCTCCTCCCACGCTGGGTCAGCCTTCGCCAGCATCTCCTCCCACGCTGGGTCAGCCTTCGCCAGCATCTCCTCCCACGCTGGGTCAGCCTTCGCCAGCATCTCCTCCCACGCTGGGTCAGCCTTCGCCAGCATCTCCTCCCACGCTGGGTCAGCCTTCGCCAGCATCTCCTCCCACGCTGGGTCAGCCTTCGCCAGCATCTCCTCCCACGCTGGGTCAGCCTTCGCCAGCATCTCCTCCCACGCTGGGTCAGCCTTCGCCAGCATCTCCTCCCACGCTGGGTCAGCCTTCGCCAGCATCTCCTCCCACGCTGGGTCAGCCTTCCCAGCATCTCCTCCCACGCTGGGTCAGCCTTCGCCAGCATCTCCTCCCACGCTGGGTCAGCCTTCGCCAGCATCTCCTCCCACGCTGGGTCAGCCTTCGCCAGCATCTCCTCCCACGCTGGGTCAGCCTTCGCCAGCATCTCCTCCCACGCTGGGTCAGCCTTCGCCAGCATCTCCTCCCACGCTGGGTCAGCCTTCGCCAGCATCTCCTCCCACGCTGGGTCAGCCTTCGCCAGCATCTCCTCCCACGCTGGGTCAGCCTTCGCCAGCATCTCCTCCCACGCTGGGTCAGCCTTCGCCAGCATCTCCTCCCACGCTGGGTCAGCCTTCGCCAGCATCTCCTCCCACGCTGGGTCAGCCTTCGCCAGCATCTCCTCCCACGCTGGGTCAGCCTTCGCCAGCATCTCCTCCCACGCTGGGTCAGCCTTCGCCAGCATCTCCTCCCACGCTGGGTCAGCCTTCGCCAGCATCTCCTCCCACGCTGGGTCAGCCTTCGCCAGCATCTCCTCCCACGCTGGGTCAGCCTTCGCCAGCATCTCCTCCCACGCTGGGTCAGCCTTCGCCAGCATCTCCTCCCACGCTGGGTCAGCCTTCGCCAGCATCTCCTCCCACGCTGGGTCAGCCTTCGCCAGCATCTCCTCCCACGCTGGGTCAGCCTTCGCCAGCATCTCCTCCCACGCTGGGTCAGCCTTCGCCAGCATCTCCTCCCACGCTGGGTCAGCCTTCGCCAGCATCCCCCACGCTGGGTCAGCTATCGCCAGCCCCTCCCATACTAAGAATTTCCTGGCCGTTCCTTCCCCTCCTCCACTCTAATACTGCAACGCCTCCTCCCACTTCCCCAGCCTCTCCCAGATCTGGCCTGGTATTTTACGACTCACTCACCATGGGTTCTTACCCGCGTTTTTTTCACAGCCCCATCATATACTTCAGTCTCTCACCAACCCCCACTGACAAACATATCCGCTTTAAAACACCGAGTAGAAATGGGATGATGCAAAAATAATAATAGAGGACTAGAGCCTTACATTAAACGTCTGGGGACGACAGTGGGAAAACCCCACAAGTCGAATATGGACGTGTACCCACCTGTACAGGTGCCCACCTGTTTAGCAACTTGTGATCAACTATGTACCTACCTATGGCCACCTGTTTGCCCATCTGTGCCCCCCGGTGTACCTCAGTACCTGATAACCCAGCCAGCACCACCACCTCGCGCACACGTATACATGTGTCACCAGGCATAATTAATGTTTGTAATTACAGTGCGAAATGACAGTAAGTCAATCGCTTCCTTTTATGTGAAATAAAGTCAGTGTAGAGCGAAAGTTGAGGGAGGTAGTGTAAGGAGGGAGGGAGGGAGGGAAGTGTAGCAGGAGGTTCACAGCATGACAGCTGAACCTTACACTGCATTACAGCCCATGTTTCTACGTTATAACCCGTTAATTCTTACCTTTATGATGAGCTCCACCTCCGGGACGGAGCCGTTCTCCTGACCGTTGGTTTCCTCGGACATATTAAGGGTAATAAGGTAGTGTTGGGTGTATCTCTGAGTGACACAGTGCACACTAGCGGTGTCAAGCTCACACTGACACACACCACCACCATCACCACCCACCTACACACAACCTTGCCACACACCGCTACACTCTCATACTCTTGTAACAACTTATCTTACTATTAATTACTCTCATTTATCATCATGTCAACCTTTTCAGGGAGTTTCAGCACGCAAATTGCTAAAATATGCGCGTATTAAAGTTGTGTGTGTGCAGTGTTAATGTGGTATTAAATGATTGTGGTGGTATGAGGCATGGGTGGGTGGGGACGCATGCGCACCATGATGCTACCATCATCATGGTAGCTCCACCATACCCTCCACCAGCCTCACTCACTCCCGCCCTAACTTCAAACTTTCTACCATGCCACCAACGATGCTACCCAGGGAAGCCCAGTCTTGGTCACACCACTAAGACGTCAGTGTTTGTCACCTTAAGTTGGACTACATGTTCCTACCAACATCTTAATCATGACTATTTCGATTTTTAACCTTCGCTTTGTCTGACATTTTTGGGGGTTATCCTTGGTGATTTACATATATGTTAACTTATGTGTGATAATTTACGTAACTATTTGTGTACCTGTCCCTAAATAAACTTAAACTATGGTCACCACTCTACACCCAATAACAAAATTGTTATAATTATTTTCTGTATCATGTTACATTAATATATAATTCAAGTACCTAACTACATACCTATGCAATATAAATTACTGTTAATACCTTCTGTTTGGCAACAGATATGTCTTCATTTAGTATTATAGCATTAAGCCTAATGCCCGAAATACTGTCCATTGTGTCCTGTTAGTAAGTTTATTCAGATATACACAAATACAGTTACTTAGATTATCATACATAGCTGTGGAAAATTTTGAATTTTCCGGAAGTCAGCAGGTATATATTTGGATAATATAATAATTGTGTATTAATTATTATTATTATTATTATTATTATTATTATTATTATTATTATAATCAAAAAGAAGCGCTAAGCCACAAGGGCTATACAGCAATTGTGCATTAAAATGATGCTGATTTGACCTTCGAGAAAATTCGAGTGGAGAAGGTAGAATCAGCGGCTGCGCCAGGTGGGGATTTTGCATTTTAAACAGGTAGGGAGAGGACGCCATGATGGAAATTTGGTGAAGAAGGGAGATATTAACCGTCGAATTACAGTGACCAACATCGAGGCTAAATTGGAATGGAACGGTCTCAGATAGGTATGGGGCGCATAATAAAGATGATCAGGAAATAATGCGGTGACACCCTACACTGCAGATTGTGAAGAGAATAATTGAAACCACTGTAATACAATGGTGGAACTGGGAAATATGGACACAGGTGAGTTCCTACAGCACACCTCTCCCTAGGTATTCTTTAATTTTGGTAGATTGCGTTGGTCATCGTATTTCTCACTGGCTAGGTGGTCCAAATTGGTAAGTTAATACCAGGAATTTTATAAATTGAAATTATATACAATACGCTTGACATTAACAGTATTAGACCCCCCCCCTCTTTCAGTTAGTCACAACAAATATATAGTCAACTTTAAATATTAGTACCAGAATTAATGGTTTATGTTTTCTTATTTAATATATGATTTTAGGTCCCGGTAATGTGTGAGAGTACATACCTCAGAGGTGCAACAAAATGTAACAAATGTATCTTAGTTGCCTTCTTATCAAATTACTTGTATGAATGTACCAGTGAGGTTCACGCAGGTAATTTATTTCTCACAATACCAGCATGTGTGTAAAGAACCTAGGATAGCCCCCCCCAAAAAAAAGTCAACAGAGTGAGTCATTTCCATTGTTGTACTTCATCTGTAGAATGTTGAAATTTGAATTTGAATGTGACGGAGGGAGTTGTGTGGTGCAGGCGAGCACTGATAGGCATGTGTGGGCCCATACCTGGTGCAGGCAGGCCAGGATAAGCATGTGGGCCCACATGGTGTAGGCGGGCGAGAATAAGCAGCATGTGGGCCCACATGGTGCAGGCGGGCCAGGATAAGCAGCATATGGGCCCCCCCATGATGCAGGCAGGCCAGGATAAGCAGCATGTGGGCCCACATGGTGCAGGCGGGCCAGGATACGCAGCATATGGGCCCCTATGATGCAGGCAGGCGAGGGTAAACGCATATGGGCCCACATGGTGCAGGTGGGCCAGAACAAGCAGCATGTGGGCCCACATGGTGCAGGCTGGCCAGGATAAGCAGCATGTAAGAACATAAGGAGCACTGCAGCAGGTCTACTGGTCCTTGCGAGACAGGGCCAAGTCTCCTACTGGCTTAAGCCAATGACCCAACCTAGTCACGTCAGGTCACATTCACTTAAGGATGAAGCACGGCATCAGACCTAGAAGCACAAGCTAGTCAGGTCCAACTCACGCCCACCCGAACCTACTCGTGTATTTATCTAACCTATTTTTAAAACTACACGTTTTAGCTTCCATGACGGTACTTGGGAGTTTGTTCCACTCATCCACAACTCTACTACCAAACCAGGGCTTTCCTACATCCTTCCTGATTCTGGATTTTTCCAACTTGAAATCATTGCTACGAGTTCTGTCCTGGCTAGATATTTTTAGCACGCTATTTACATCCCCTTTATTCCTGTTTTCCATTTATGCACCTCGATCATATCCCCCCCTAATTCTACGCCTTTCTAGAGTGCAGATTCAGGGCCCTCAGTCTATCCTCATCGGGGAGATGTCTGATACATGGGATCAACTTTGTCATCCTCCTTTGTACGTTTTCCAGAGCATTTGTATCCATTCTTAATTCATGAGGCCTAATTAAGGATATATAGAGTTGAAGAACAACCTGAAGATAAAGTCAAGAGAGGCCTGAGCTTGCTACCATCTGCAGCTCATAAGACTGCCATCCCCACGAACCCCTTTGAGGCGGGGTAGATGGCAGACCAGAGGCCTAGCTTCTCCCTACGAGCCCCGTGAGGGCGGGGAATGTGGCTAGGCCTGGGGACACTTGGTCCCAAAGATGAGGAGGTACTGTACCTCCTCCCATGGGAGACTTAAGTCTCGAGACACTCCCCAGATAGGGAGCCAAGGCCGGGTCACCACTACTTGGAAAAGACCCGGGCCGGGAGAATACCGGCGAATAAAAAAAAAAAAAACAACCTGAGGACTCCTATTATTTATGCTTCTTAATATGAAGCCAAGGATTCTGTTCGCTTTACTGCGAACACTTATGCACTGTTGTCTTGGTTTTAAATTACTGCTAACTAGAGCTCCCAAATCCTTTTCGCAATCAGTAATATTAAATCTACATTATTTAGTTTATATGTGGCATGGTTATTTTCCAGTCCAGTGTTTAGAACTTTGCATTTGTCTATATTAAACTGCAGTCTTAGGCCCGTTGTTGTTTATAATATATATCAATGACCTAGATGAGGTTTTACATAAGAACATGAGAAAGGAGGATATGAGCAAATTCGCCGATGACACACAGATAGGTAGGATAATTGATTCAAACGTAGATGTTAGGGAACTTCAGAAGGATTTAGACAATATGTAAAGTAAAAGGACACAAGTGCAACTAATGTGACATTTTATTGTGGCAACGTTTCGTTCTCCAGGAGCTTTATCAAGCCATTACAAACAATACATGGACACAGAGGGCATATAAAGGCTCAGAGTGAGGTGCAATACTAGTGAGGTACCATTTCGATGTTCACTAGTGGTAGTAGTAGTAGTATAGTGACAAAAGTTGTAGTAGTAATACAATATGGTAGAACAATTAATTCGTACATGAGTAAAAGGATATAAAAGCTATTACTTGGGTAACAAAAATAGGTTGGACAAATATAGACTGGAAAGAGGCAGCTTGTTTCATTGTTCACTCTCTGTAATGTGCTTTGTGTAGTATAACAGGAGAGACTATGTGATGGCAGGGTTTACTGTTTTCAGGAGGATTCTTGCTAAGACTTCAGATATGGTGAAGCTGCCGTTGTTTTGTTTAATTGTATTCGAAACAGCGATCAGTGCTGATTCGAGGCACTTGCGTCTGCGGAAATTAGTTTCTTTGATCACTAATTGGGCGTCTCTGAATTTCATGAGATGATTGGTGGAATTACGGTGTTGTACACAGGCGTTGTTCAAGTTATCGTTCCTACATGCGTAAATGTGTTCATTGAGGCGGGTGTCGAGGTTTCTTGCTGTTTCACCTACGTAAATCTTGTCACAGCCTCCACAGGGTATAGTGTAAACTCCTGCATTGACTGGTTCGTGGTGCTTGGATTTTGTCCTGGTTAGATCCTTTATTGAAGTCCTAGAAGCGATGGCGACTCTGGTGTTGTTAGGTAAGACACATATGCAACAGTCAGGTATCTTTATTTCGAAACGTTTCGCCTACACAGTAGGCTTCTTCAGTCGAGTACAGAGAAGTTGATAGAAGCAGAAGAGACTTGAAGACGATGTAATCAGTCCAACACCCTTAAAGTTTTGAGGTGGTCAGTCCCTCAGTCTGGAGAAGAGCATTGTTCCATAGTCTGAAACAATATCGTCCACGTAACGTAACCAAGTGACGCTTGAAGGGATGATGTTGGCGAAGTGTTCGGACTCTAGGTGTTCCATGTATAAGTTGGCTAGGACGGCACTGATAGGGGACCCCATTCCCATGCCGTAGGTTTGTTTGTAGAGCTTGTTATTGAAAGAAAAACAGTTGAAATTAACAACAGACACAACCTCCTACAAGATTGCCTGGCAGAGAAGGTGATCCCTAAGTCTACTCCTGCACAACTCTCCAACTCCAAGCACCCCTTCTCTCCAGCTACCCAAGCTTACTTAACTGAATGTGCCGAAGAACTTTCTAACATCGCTAAGGAAACCTTTGAAACTGCAAGGAATATGAGGGCCAATCTTCAGATTGACCAACACACTGCTTATTCTCAGCACAGTCACCACAGCTAACCTCCAACAGAAGATCAAACTCAATCGCAAACTTCAGTACCTATGCACTAACAGTCGATGGAAGGAAATGGGACGCGTATCTCTGATAAATAACTTATCGTCACGCACCTTAACCGACTACGAG